TTGGTTAAACCAGGGTGGGAATAAGAGGCCCTGAAAGAACAGCAGTACCCAGGTGTGCCACCTCCAGGGGCGTTCTCCTTTGCCTATAAGCTTTGCTTAAAAAAAAGAAAGAGAAAAAAACTGTTTTCATTTTTTTTATTTACTTTTTAAAATGATTTTATTTATTTATTTGAGAGAGAGAATGAGAGAGAGCGAGCACATGAGAGAGGGGAGAGTCAGAGGGCGAAGCAGACTCCCCGCTGAGCGGGGACCCCGATGTGGGACTCGATCCCGGGACTCCAGGATCATGACCTGAGCCGAAGGCAGTCGCTTCACCAACTGAGCCACCCAGGCGCCCGTGGAAAAAAACTTTTTCTAAACTTTTTTTGTGTGTGTGTACTAAAAGCAGGGCAAATAAATAAATAAATAAATAAATAAAGGATGGGGTGCCTGGGTGGCTCACCAGTTACGTGTCTGACTCGATTTTGACTCAGGTCATGATCTCAGGGTCATGAGACTGAGCCCCACGTTGGGCTCCACACTCAATGGGGAGTCTGCTGGACACTGTCTCCCTCTACTCCTACCCCAGCTTGTGCACTCTCTCTCAAATAAATAAATAAATCTTTAGGGAAAAAAAAAACGGACAAAACAAGAACATTTGGTGATTTGGGGATGTGAGTGCTCCGCCATAGTGTGTGCTATATTATACTTCATGTTTGTTGGTTTTTTTTTTTTCACTTTTCAAAATTAAATCAAGAGCCCAGTACAGGACCTGGTGCAGGGACCCAGGAGAAGTGACAATGGCAGCTGTTATGACGACTATTATTTCAGTTTAGGTCTCCTACTTCCCCTGTGATTTCCTCAGGTCTCTGCCCACAGACTAGAAGGATGTTCTTGTCTTTCACATATGAAAGCAAATTAAACCTTTTCTCTCTGAGTTGCAAATATTCCTCACCCCATTTCCACCCCTACCCCCTCCTCAACAGTCCTTGATCCTTGTCTGGATGTTTCTGCTTTGGTAAGTCCTGCAGGCACCTTGCTTTATCTGGCCCACTGCTCCTATCACCTTCATACACTCTACCAGGGCCTGGGTCTGGGTCCCCTCCAGCCCTCTCCCAAGCTTCCAAAACCTTATGGGTGTAGAAATGGGATCCTGTTACTGCCCTTCCCCCACCCCAAAGGGCTCCTCATTTCCTCAGTCTTGTCAGGAGGGCTAAACCCTCCGCAGCTGGTACCTGCCTTGCCTGGGACCTCCTTCAGTCTCTACCCGATCTGCCTTGTACTGGGAAGCATTTTTCCAGAGACGTGCTTTGTGTCTAACCCCTGGGCCAAGGGGAAGCTCCTGGCAGATTGAGGTGTGTACTGGAATCTTGAAACCTGCATCGCACATCTGGCACTATCCAGCCCCAGTAGGGTAGGGCTAGGCTTGTAGACAGTGGGACCTGAGCAGTGCTTTACCTGTGGGCAGTGCCTGCCACAGAAGGAGACCCTGCGTGAGAAGCTGGCTAGTAATGGAGGGTGGAGGGCGGTTAGGAACCCTGACTGAGCCAGAAGCAGGGACTGAGCCTTCTGACTTCTGACCTAAGCTGTCTGTGTGGTTGTGAGGAGTGTGTGTGTGTGGGGGGGGGGGGAACAGGGGTTCCTGCCTCTTGGCAGCTGAGGAGGCCCAGTCAAGGAGTAGCTTAATTTCTTCTTTCACGTGTCTGTGACCATTGCAAGCTCACAGGTTCTTCCCCTGATGGTCCGTCAGCCAGTGCCATCTGTCCCTTCTCATCACCTACTGCCTCTAAGACTCTAGGACCTGGCCTAGAATTCCCCATACGTGCAGGCCACGTTGACCCCTCCTTGGCTTATCAAACCTGTGTCCTTGGATACACTATGTATTCCTCGAAATGCCCCCACAACCACAGTGATAAGGTCTTTGGAGAGGAGAGGAAAGCAAAATACACATCTCCCCCAGGCTTGTGATACTGGAAGCTGCAGCTCCCACCTCCCTTGCTGCCTGAGACTGGTCAGTTTGTGTTTCTCCCTCCTGCCTCCTACTGGGCCAGGTCCCCCATCTCACCCTCATCCACTAAGACCTCCGCTGAAGCCACCCATGTCCTCTCCTTCCTACCCTGAATCTGTCCCCTTCTGGCTTTCCCTGCTGAGGTCTGAGAGGCCTCCTGTGTTTGCTGCCCTACAAGATCCACTGCCCTCCCCAAGGTCCTTTAAACATGCAGATGGGACTGTGGTCCTCCCCCTCTCCCCCCCCCCAACTCTGCAATCCCCACAGCAGCTCAGCCCACAATTCTCTTTCCTCACCGTACGGAGGGCCACTGTCCCCCCTCAGAGCCCTCAAACATGCCTTTCTACCTGCCTGATGTTGTTGCAGCCATGTGTCTGGATGATTCATTCCCTTTCTCCCCACCACCCCGCCCCCCCGCCCGAGTCCCTCTGCTTGTACGATAGGGTAATGAGACCATCAACGCGGCTGATAAATGCTCGTAAAGCAGAAATGAAGCATTCAGCAAGGGAGAGGCAAGGGGAAGGTATTCATCGATGGGAAAACAGTGGCATTTATCAGAAACGTACTGTGTGCAGGCTCTGAGTCTCTGGCAGCTATATTCATTTTCTATTGTTATTTAACAAATTACCACAAACTCAGCATCTTAAAACAACAGCCACCTATTAGCTTACTGTTGTGCATGTCGGACACCCAGGCAGCGTCCTCTGTTCTAGGTCTCACAGAGGCTGCAATCAGGTTTTGGGCAGGGCTGGGCTCTTACGGGAAGCTCTGGGGGGAAACCAGCTTCCCGGCTCCTTCAGGTAGTCAGCAGGTTCCAGTCCCATGCAGTCGTAGACTGAAGTCCCTCTTTCCTTGCTGGCGGTCATGTGGGCCTCTTGTCAGATTCTAGACTCCCCTCTGTATTTGTCACGTGGCCCCCTCCAGCTTCAAAGCCCCTGGAGTCCTTCTACTTCAAGTCTCTCTGCTTTTAAAGGCCCTATGATTACCTTGGGCCTACCCAAGCAATCGAGGATCATCTCATTTTAAGGTCAGCTGCTTAGTAACCTTAACTATATCTGCCACGGACTGTAACTATACATAAGTCCTGGCCTGGAATCTTGGAGGGGGCGCTTTTAGAATTCTGCCCCCCAGGGGCGCCTGGGTGGCTCAGTCGTTGGGCGTCTGCCTTCGGCTCAGGTCACGGTCCCAGGGTCCTGGGATCGAGCCCCGCATCGGGCTCCCTGCTCGGCGGGAAGCCTGTTCTCCCTCTCCCGCTCCCCCTGCTGTGTTCCTTCTCTCGCCGCCGTGTCTCTCTCCGTCAAATAAATACATAAAATTCTTAAAAAAAAAAAAAAAAAAGAATTCTGCCCCCCTACAGGAGACGACTTACAGTGTCCCAGAACCTGTGCAATCAGGCCCAGGGCAGCGTGAAGCTGCTGTTAGCACCTCTCTTCCTGTTTAGGTAGTAGTAACAGCAGCAGGTGTCTGTCAAGGTGAGGACACTGACGGCCCCCCTCCACAGGTCCCGTGACGGAAGACAGGGAGTGTCCCCAGAGGAGCAGTGGCAGCTGAGCTACGGAAGAGAGTGCCACAGAAAGAGAAGAGCACGGGCCAGCCTTGAGGCAGGCAGAACCAAGGCCCTGAGGAACGAGGAGTGACAGGACTGGAGAGCGGCCACTGAGGCTGGACGCAGCAGACGCGGGGGGCTGGGCGGGCCGTTCTGACGGGCCCAGACTCCGAAGGAGGGCACGGAGGCCGTCAGGCTCCTCGGGGCACGGGCCACGGGCTGGGCTGCCCGCGGGGACGGTGCTTCCCCTCCTGACCTTCCACACGTCCACAACGCAGCTGCCCAAGGTGGGAGGCTGGTACCCCGGTCCTGCCCTCACACTGGAGGCTAAGCCAGCCGCCCGCCCCGCCCCCGCTGGATTCCACACCTGCTGCACAAGGCACAGGGCCCACCCAGGTCTCAGGCCATCTTCCGACCTTTCTGGCCCCCCGGCTGCCTCTGGCCCCCACGAGCAAAGTGTAAAGCTAGGCCAGCCCACCAGCCCAGCCTCTAGCCTGGTTCCTGGGGCCCTAGAGAGCCAGCCCCGGCTCCGGGTCCTTGGAAACCGAGGCGGTCTCCCCTGGCCGCACAGCTCTTCCCACAGACGTCTCCTGAACTGACCCTCACCGCCCCGGCGGACGCACCAGCCGTCTCACCCCTGCCCTTCCGTTCCGAGGTGTGTCCCAGAGCGCGGCGTGCGAAGGCACTCCGTTCCGGATCCATTCACACTGCTGTCCACTCCTCGCCCCGGGCAGGCGGGCCTGGCGTGTGTGCGGGGGAGGCAGGCGGCACAGACAGGCTGCCTCCAGCTTCTCCCCGGGACCCGGGCTCAGGGGCGCAAGGCGGGAGCCGGAGGCGGCTGGGGTGGTGTCTGCTCCCTCGGTCCGCTCGTGGCCGCGGGCGGGCGGGGAGGTGGGCTGCGGGGATGCCCCTGCCCTGCACGCAGGGCCGCAGCCCCCCGGACCAGGGACAAGCCCTACTGCCGGTCCCACTCACGCTGCGCGCAGGGGGCCGTCACCTGGGGCCGGCGCAGCCGGCCGAGACGGGGGGTCGCAGCGCAGTCCAGGCCTGCCGAGACCTACCTGGGCCCTCGCAGCCTCCGCGGCGGCGCGCGCGCTCCGGGGCCAGCCCCGCGGGGCGCGCGCGGGGGCGTGGCCCCCAGGCGGACGGCGCAGGCCCCGCCTCGTCCGCGTGCCTAGGGCAACGCGCCGGAAGCGTGCTGCGGCCCAGACGTTCCTCGCCGCCCCGCCGCCCGAGCCTCTGCGACTTGAGTTCCGACTCTGACGAGAGCAGGAAGTGCGGCCCGGCCGCGGCGGCGGATCGCCATAGAAACGCCGGAAGCGTGCTCTGACCTAGCGCTTCCCCACCCCACCGCGGCTGCAGACTTCGGTTCCGCCGGCGTCGCCCCCCGAAAGTGCGGCCTGGTCGGCGCCGAGCGGGAGCGGGCCGCGTCCCGGCCGCGTGCCTGAGGAGGAGCCGGAGGTGGGGTCTGGCGGGCATCCCCCTGCTGCAGGGCCCCCGGGCAGGCCGGGGCGTGCCAGGGGAGGGGCACCGGCGCTAGGCTTGGAGCGCGCGCTGTGGACGTGAGGGGGCGCTGCCGGGTGGGGGCTTGGCTCTGGCGACCGCGCGCCGGCGGGAAGTCCAGGCTGGCTGGCCGGGGTCTGGAGCGGGTGCAGCCCGGGCGTCTCAGAGAGGGCCTCTGGGTTCAGGGTAGGGCGCGAGCAGTTGAGCAGCGCGTGGGAGAGGGTGCTTGGAGCGACGCGTGCGGCGAGGGCAAAGGCGTGGCAGCCAGAAGGCGGCGCCATAGCCGGGGGCGTGGGCCTTTGTTCTGAGGCGCCGAGAAGGCCCCGCCGCGTCTGGACCGAGAGGGAAGAGACCGGGAGCGGGGCGGGGCTGGGCCGGAAGAGGCCGGCCTTAAGGGGACCGGTCGATGCGCAGGTTTGCGCCCCAGGCGCCCAGGCACGGATTTGAAGTTCTCTAGGCGGTGGGTGAATAAAGACGGGGAACGGCCTGTGGCATAGGTGACGGCACGTGCAAAGACTTGGCTTGTTTGAAGAATTGCCAAGAATTAATTCATCGCCATGGAGGGCTCGGAGCCCAGGAGGGTCCCGATCTGTCAGGTCTGAACAGGCTCCCTCTGGCGGTCGCCTGGGGAATAGGCCGGGGGGCGGGCATCCCAAGGAGACGGCTCCATCAGCCTCGGCCGGAGGTACCGGGGCAGTGGCGGAGTGCGAAGTGATCTCAGGGTGAGATGTGGCGCACGCAAGACAGGGAGGGGCTGGCCCCAAAAGAGGAAAGGCGATGTGGGCGTGAGGCACCGGAGGGGGGTGAGTCTGAGACCCCATTAGACCCGGAAGGTTAAGGGAGGCTGCGCTCCGGGGCTGTGTGACCCAGCCTCAGCCGGGCTGGTGGAGAGTGGGTGTCAGGGTGCGTCCTGTGTCCCGACTGTGCTCCCCTAGACTGGAGGTGCGTGTGGGCTGGGTGCAGGATGAGCCAGGTACCCCATCTTTGTTTGAAAGACGGAACACTGAGTCCTAGTGAGCACGGTGCCTGCTTGGCGGGTGAAGTAGCAGAGCCGCTCAGATTCCCGGAGTTCCCTTCCAGTGTCTGAGGGTGGGCAAATTAAGTGGAATTAGGAGGTCAGAATTTTGACAAGAGTCGTGCTGATACGGAGGCCGCTGCTGCACCACCTTTGCCCTCCCGATCACACACCCTGCACGATCCACGCAAGCCCCCTCTCTATGCCACACCCACACCGCAGTGCCCTACAAGCCATATCGAGATTCCAAGAACACCAGGCTGCAAGAGGGACCTCCCTACCTGCGGTGCTGGGGTTGGCCAGAGACCACTTGCCAGGCTAGTGCCCAACTGACTCTCAACCCTTTGTGACTATGCACACCCTGAGTCGCTTAGTCCAGGAGGCAGGCAGGGCGTGCCATCCCACCCCAAGAAGACCTCAGTATACACTGGTTAACATAACCCCATTCCAAGCCAACAGACCTGGGTCTCCACAGGACCTTGGATGCTCCAGGCTTAGGGGATGTGGCAAAGGAAGATCAAAAAAGAAGCTGCTTGGGGAGGAATCACAGCCAGCCAGGAAAGGGAGTGGGTAAGGTGTGGCAGCCAGTTCTGTAAAGGGGCCCCTGCAGTCTTCTCCACAGAGCTGCCCCCTGGGAGGGGTACTTGGGGAAGGTTTCTGGATTTGGAATTCGGCGAAGGGTTGGTGGGTGGGCCCATGTAGGGGAAGCTGAGCTCTGGACCCTCCCCTGGGGAGTAAGCAAGACTGGGAGGGAGGCAGAGCTTTGGTATTCCCCACCTTCTTCCAGGTGGTGCCCTGGGGGCTTCAGAGGTAGAGCTGCAGAGGTCCTGGAGACGGGGTGGTGTTTGGTGAGTCCTGTGTCCTGTGTATGGGAACAGAACTGCCAGAGGCCTTCTCGAGGGGGCTGAGGTTCGCAAAGCCTGGGGTTGTGGTGCGCCCGCGGGCCTTGTCCTGAAATAAGGGCTCAAGTGACAGGGACAGCGGGGCGGGGGAGGGGGTGGATCCCGGGCTGACTTCCCTCTCCCCGCCCACACCCCCTCATCCAGTGCAGATGGCGGCGGCAGAGGCGGTGCACCACATACACCTGCAGAACTTCTCCCGCTCGCTGCTCGAGACTCTCAACGGGCAGCGGCTGGGCGGTCACTTCTGCGACGTGACTGTGAGGATCCGCGAGGCTTCGCTGCGTGCACACCGCTGTGTGTTGGCTGCTGGCTCGCCCTTCTTCCAGGACAAGCTGCTGCTCGGCCACTCGGAGATCCGCGTGCCGCCGGTGGTGCCCGCGCAGACGGTGCGCCAGCTCGTCGAGTTCCTCTACAGCGGCTCGCTTGTGGTGGCACAGGGCGAAGCCCTGCAGGTGCTCACGGCCGCGTCGGTGCTGCGCATCCAGACGGTCATAGACGAATGCACGCAGATCATTGCCCGCGCCCGCGCCCCGGTCCCGGGCGCGCCCGCACCCCTACCCACGCCGGTGCCCCCACCTCTTGCGCCCGCGCAGCTACGCCACCGCCTGCGCCACCTGCTTGCCGCGCGGCCCCCGGGCCACCCCGGTGCCGCGCATAGCCGCAAGCAGCGCCAGCCAGCGCGCCTGCAGCTGCCCGCGCCCACTGCGCCCACCAAGGCCGAGGGGTCGGACGTCGACCCCGCCCTCCCGGCGCCCCCGGACGACGGCGGCGATGGCGACGAGGAGACCGATGACGAAACCGACGGCGAGGACGGCGAAGGCGGCGGCCCGGGAGAGGGCCAGGCGCCCCCTTCCTTCCCCGACTGCGCCGCCGGCTTCCTCCCCGCCGCCCCTGACAGCGCGTGCGAGGAGCCGCCTGCACCCGCCGGCCTCGCCGACTACGGCGGCGCCGGGAGGGACTTCCTTAGGGGGGCGTCGGCTGCCGAGGACGTGTTCCCGGAGAGCTACGTGTCCGCTTGGCAAGATGAGGATGGCACCGCCGCGGAAGCCTGTGCCACCGAGACCCCGGCTCCGCCTGACTGCGTCCTGTCCGGATCCCGCGTCCCCGGCGTGAAGACCCCGGGGCCCCCAGTCTCGCTTTTCCCGTTTCATCTGGGCGCTCCTGGGCCACCTGCGCAACCTCCTCCCGCGCCCTCCGGCCCTGCTCCTGCACTCTCCTCCGCCTTCTACCCCGCGCTCCAGCCAGACGCGGCCCCCAGCGCGCCTCCCGGGGAGGCACCGGCCCCGCCCGCCGCTCCCGCCGCGGCCCCCTCCGCCACCCCTGCCCGAGCCCCGGGTGCCGCCGAGCCACCTGCCTATGAGTGCAGTCACTGCCGCAAGACGTTCAGCTCGCGGAAAAACTACACCAAGCACATGTTCATCCACTCGGGTGAGCCGGGATGGGTCTCTGAGCCCCTTGGTCATTGGAGAGTCAAGCCTGAGGGGGGACTGGGGACTGGGCAAGTGGGGTGGAGGCACTCATGCGGTTCTGATGCTTTTTCATAACCCCAGGGGAGCCTGGAAATTGAGCCCCAAGTGCGACGTGTAGGGGGGAGGGGAAGCCCCTCCACATGGAGAAGCAGGCACTCCTGCATCCCCTACCTCGATGTAGTGGTGCAGGGGGGAATCCTACCGCCGGGTTAAGGAGCAGGAACTTGCCCAGAGCTTTTGGGAAGCTGGAAGTGAAGCCTTTACTCACCGCGATGGAGCTTGGGATGATCAGGAGGAAAGGAGCCTTGGCAGGGATATATAGCCAGGTTGGGGAGCAGTGCTGCAGGGAGCCTCCTGGGTCTTCTGGCTGGCTGTGGGTCCGGTGGCTGGGACTGGATATGAGGGAGGGTGACCTAGGGAAAGCGTGCAGAGTAGGCAGAGACGTGCCCTGATCAGCGCTGGAGGACAGAGATGGGGCTGCATAGTGGGGACCCCGCAGCTGCAGAGGGAGGGAAGGGGAGCTCCTTGAAGACCATGGAGAGGTCCCCTAAAAACCTCAGCTGGTCTGGGAGGTGCTCTGCAGTGGCTGAGGGAGAGACAGAGAGTGCTAGGGTGGACCGGTGGGGATTGTGGAGCTAGGGCCTGAGGTGGTGGCTGGCAGGTCCTGGGTGTGTTGTGGGGTGTGTGGGGCTCTCCCTAGGGGCTCAGGTGGAGGACAGGGGTGTGGAATGTCAAAGACTGCTTGCAGGGCTGAACTGGATGTTGTTAGGAAAAGCAAAGATTTGGCTGGAAATCCTGTGGGAGTGGGAATGGGCCCTGTTGGGCAGGAAGGTCCGGGAGTGAGGGGTAGTCCGGGAAAGAAGGGAGTGTCCCTAATGGACAGGGGGATTCCGGGTTGATGGGCAGTCCCGGAGGAGAAGGGAGTCCCTGCCAGACAAAGATTCCCCGGGGCGGGCCCCTTCCCAGCTGACATACGTGCGCGGCATGCCCTGTCGCCCACAGGGGAGAAGCCCCACCAGTGCGCCGTGTGCTGGCGATCTTTCTCACTGCGCGACTACCTGCTGAAGCATATGGTCACACACACAGGCGTGCGCGCCTTCCAATGCGCTGTCTGCGCCAAGCGCTTCACGCAGAAGAGCTCACTCAACGTGCACATGCGCACGCACCGGCCCGAGCGCGCGCCCTGCCCCGCCTGCGGCAAGGTCTTCTCACACCGCGCGCTGCTCGAGCGCCACCTGGGCGCGCACCCCGCGCCCTGATCCAGTCCTGGGCCTGGCTACGCCCACCGCAGGATTGACCACGCTCCCGCGCAGTCGGCCACCCTCTGCCGGGTTAGGGACCTCCCGTGGAACTAGGCCACAACCACCGCGGGACCGGTAACATCCCTGCCTAGACGCCTGGACCACATTCCCACCACCAAACCACACTTCCCCCAGAGCGCAGGCCTTCCCTCTGCTTCCGCCCTTTCCCCCAGACCTGACCAGGGGTCCAGCCTGCCTTACTCCTCTCCTCCCTCGTACTTAGACCCTCCTGACGGTGGCAGGCTGGGGCTGGGTTTGGTCAGGGACCTGATCACCCCTGAGAACTGGATCATCTCCAGCCTAAACTCAGAGACCCTTGGGCCAGGCCCAAGATTTGTGGCTTGAGTGGGGTGGGTTCTGGAGCTGCTCCTCTGCCCCAGCGTCGAGCGGGGCATGATCCCTGGCTCCCCACCGTACCCCTTCCTCAGTCTGGTGTCTAGGGGGCTCAGGTGGGCCCATCATGGACTGGGACAGGACCTTGGGACTCCCACTCTCTAATAAAGTACTGGGGCCATGGGTTCCAAACTCGGAAGCTGTGAGCTCCCAGACCCGTGCATTTCTCATCATCACAGAATGGTTGTGGGCCTGGGGGCTCAGTGCCCCCATCCCTGGGCAGCTAACCCTAACCTCCTGGGCTCCCTGGGCAGAGACAGGATGATCCACTTGGCCCCTCATGCCTCTGTTCTCCAGGAGGAAGTGGGATGTCCATGTGACTGGCACTTGACTCTTCTAGAGCCCTTGGTGCTATGGGGAGAGGTACAGGCCAGCCCTGAGGTGCATCTGGAAGAGGGAAGCCATATGTGGGAAAGATGCAGACTTCAAGGCCCTTCCTGCAGGAATCTCAAGGCCCTTTGGACTCTAGGCTTCCCCATCCCCATCCTAATGGGCATGATTGAGCACCTTACTTGGGTGGGGGGAGGGTGTCTAGGGAGTCTTTGAGGCCAGGCTGCCATGTGGGGATCTGAGCTCCAGGATGCCCACCCTGGCTGGTAAGTTCTGAAGCGTGGGGTGGGGGAGCAGGGCAAAAGGGGAGAAGCAGCCAGGCCCCTTGGGCTGCTAACCAGGGGGCTGAAGGTACTGATCCCTGGTAGCAAACCAGTGTCACAAGACCCCGCATCAGTTTGGCTGCCAGCCCAGAAAGCAGCCACTCCTCTGCTTGCAGAGCATTGGCGGCACCTGACCCCGGGCACCCTGTCTTAAAGATTTGGAGCAGGTGGAGAGGGGTTTGAGCTGAAGACCTGCGGGCTCCCAGGTCGATGGCACCGCCTCTGAGCTTCCCCTCTGTGACTGCCTCCCAGAGGTGAAGGGCTCAGGCTTCCAGGCCAACCACTGAGAGACTGCCCTGCCCACGTTCCGGGCAGGGGGAGTTTAGCCTCCTGAACCCCGTGGATGCCAGGGGGTTGGGCCGACTCAGCCCAGCATGTGGGTGGGGGTGGGGACGTCAGAACTGGGTTTGAATTTAGTCACTGAATTTGTTCCTTCAACTACTTGCAGAGTGCCAGGCACGTACCTGGCTAGAGGTAGGCACAGTGAAACAAGTCGGGTTAAAAAGGGCTGGGGGGTGGAGTCCTGAGGCCAGAAGCATTGCTGTCCACACCTCCAGGGCCACCGTCAGGGGGTGGGGGTGGGGCGGGACTAAGGGTCAGAGATCTGGGCCAGGCAGCCCCTGGCAGAAGTTACTAGCAGTCTGGACACTTCCCCGAGGAGGGAGCGGGTGCCATGGGCATTTGGCTGCGACTAGCCTTTTTACTGTTGGTGCTGCAGGCTCTGGGGCAGCCCGCATGGCCTGCGGCTGTGGCCCTGGCACTGCGCTGGCTCCTGGGAGACTCCGTCTTCTGCGTGCTGCTCAGCCTGGCCCTGCTGGCGCGGCCCTGGCTCTGGCCCTGGAGGCCCCACTGGCTGAGTCTGGCAGCTGCGGCGCTCACGCTGGCTCTGCTGCCCGCACGGCCGCCCCCGGGGCTACGCTGGCTGCCTGCAGATATGGCCTATATCGCCGGGATCCTCCACCTGGGCCTGGTTGTCAGAGCGCGCATGAGACGCCGCCCGCCCGACACCTTTGTGGATACCTTCGAGCGACGAGCACGAACACAGCCGGGTCACACGCCCTTGGTGTGGAAGGGGCCGGGGAGCCGCTCAGTCACCTTCAGGGAGCTGGACGACAGGGCATGCCAGGCAGTGTGGGCCCTGAAGGCCGAGCTGGGCGGCCTCACGGCCTTGCTTGGCGGGGAGTCGGCCGCCTTCCTGGTGCTGGACGCCCAGACAATTCCGGCCTTGGGTTTGTGGCTGGGGCTGGCCAAGCTGGGCTGCCCAGTGGCCTGGATCAATCCACATGGCCGGGGAGCGCCCCTGGTGCACTCAGTGCTGAGCTCTGGGGCTCGGCTGCTGGTGGTGGACCCAGGTGAGGAACCTAGAGGCTAGAAGAGGCCAGGGGGTCCTGCTGGAGGGCTAGGCAAGGACATCCTTGCTTCCTACCTACCCTCACAGGCAATTATAGTCAAAGCTCAATTGCTGGAAAGTAATTTTGGGGGCACCAGAGGTTTTTTTTTTCCATGTTTGTTTCGATCCTTTTTTTTTTTTTTAAGATTTATTTATTTACTTTAGGGCGCCTGGGTGGCTCAGTGGGTTAAGCCTCTGCCTTCAGCTCAGGTCATGATCCCAGGGTCCTGGGACTGAGTCCCGCATCAGGCTCTGTGCTCAGTGGGGTGCCTGCTTCTCCTGCTTGTGCTCTCTCTCTCTCTGTCAAATAAAATCTTTTTTAAAAAAGATTTATTTATGTTCGAGAGTGAGCGGGGGTAGGGGCCAAGGAAGAGGGAGAGAGAACCCTTGAGCAGGCTCCCCCCTGAGCGCAGAGCCCCATGCAGTGCTCTCAGGGTTCAATCCCAGGACCCTGAGACCATGACCTGAGCTGAAACTAAGAGTTGGCTCACCCTGACTGACTGAGCCATCCAGGCGCCCCTGTTTTAATCCTTTTTGCCAACAAATACTAACTATGGGGCTTTATCTTTGGGTCTCGGGTCTCCCCTCCTGACCTCAAATGTGGGCCTTTCCCCAATTTCTCTTCTGACCTGTCCCTGCAGACCTCCGGGAGAACCTGGAAGAGGTACTTCCCAAGCTGCAGGCAGAGAACGTCCGATGCTTCTACCTCAGCCATTCCTCCCCAACACCAGGAGTGGGGGCTCTGGGGCCTGCTCTTGATGTTGCACCCACCGACCCCGTGCCCACTGACCTACGTGCTGGGATCACACCACAGAGCCCTGCCCTGTTTATCTACACCTCAGGGACCACTGGTGAGGGTGCCCAGCAACCCCAGCCCTGACCTCTGAACCCTAATGCTGCCCTAACCCCAAGCTTGACATGTGCCTCAAACTTGACCTCTGAAACCCATCCTACCCTTTGATTGTGACACCTGGCCTGAACTCTGACCCCCAATGTGTTTTGACTGGTCAGTACCAGAACCTTGCCTCTGCCCGGTAAACAGCCACTGAAACCCTAACTGAGCTTTGGAATTTACCCTCTGAACCCCAAATCCAATTTTTCTTCCCCGAGCCCACCCACAAATCCCCATACTTGAACACCTCCTAAGATCCTCAAGCCCCTGACCACGGAGACCCACTCCTACGTGCTGGCCTTTCACCACCCACCCTTCCCACTCCATTCCCCAGGGCTCCCAAAGCCGGCCATTGTCACGCACGAGCGACTGCTGCAGATGTGCAAGATGCTGTCCCTGGGTGGGGTCACATCTGATGACGTGGTCTACACAGTCTTGCCTCTGTACCACGTGATGGGGTTTATCCTTGGGGTCCTCAGCTGCCTGGAGCTCGGTAAGCCCTTTTCTGAAGACCCCTCCAATCCACGGGACCTCCAGACTCCAAGTCAGGGTGGAGCTTTCAGGGTAACAAGGCCCCACAGGTTACCCAGCACCGAAGTTCTTACCTTTGACAAAGGACACACAGCAGCAGACCCCAAGGCTACTTGGGCAGAGACTTGGTCACTTAGTCCCTAATGGCTTTGCTGTTGTCGGAAGGTGACAAGCTGATAGGAGTGCTGGGATAGTCAGCGAGGGTTAGGTGTTCACCAAGCATTCCACTGGGCTATCTTCCTGGACACCTGACTAGAAATTCAGACTGGGAACTCTCCAGTATTTTCCTCTCGAGTTTTTATAAAAAAAACTTTGAAAAACATACAAATTTCTAAATATTTCTACATGAATTCTCATGTACCCACCATCCAGCTTCAGCCACCATCAGCATTTTGCTTTCAAACATACACGGTACAGCAAAAGTAGAGAAAATAGTTTGATGATGTCTCACATATCCCCACCCACCCTGGACAATTGTTAACACGTTGCCAATCTTATTTCATATGTATTCCCCTCTTTATTTCTCAATTATTTTAGAACAAATCCTAGACACTGTATCTTTTTGCTTGTAAGTATTCAGTATGTATCTCTAACATACAAGGACTTAAGAACTGTCACCATGGTGATATCACGTCTGACAAAATTAACAGTAACTCTAATATCATCTGATGCACAGGTCATGTTTGAATTCCCCCAGTGACATGTCTAATTGTTTTTTGTTTTGTTTTGTTTTTTACAGTTAAAGTCCCCTCACTGTACTTGCTTGTTTGTTCTCTGCTCCTCTTTCCCCTGCATTTCTTGTTAGACTGGAAATTTCCCCTAGAGACGTTAGATTCAGTTCAATTATTGGTGGCAAGAACCTTGGTGGGATGCATTATACTTCCTAATACATCACACTGAAGGCAGCTCATAACTGTTACCCTACCTTAGAGAGGCTAAGATGAATTGGGGAGCTGTATGTATGTATGTACAGTTGACATGTTACATCAGTTTCGGGTGTACAATGGGGCAATTAGACAAATCTACACACCGGGGGGGCTTTAATTGGAAAACTCCCTGTCAACCTTCCCCCTGATTTTACCAGCTCTTGAAGACCTTTCCTGAATCAGGCATTTCATCAGGGGTTGCAAACAAAGTTGTCACTTTCAAGACCAGCATCCATTTTCACATAGAAGGCATTGTATTTTACGTCCCTGCCAAAAATACAGCCTTGCTCTATTTCTGAAGACACACACTTGCTACCTCACCAGGCACACAAGCAATTGTCTCTTTGGGTGCAGGGATCGTAATATTTAGCTTGCATGGTTTTGTTGAGGGTTAGGGTTGAGGTAGGGAGAGTGCTTTCCACAAAGCCAGCTGCAGAGGAGGTGATGAGCTAAAAAAGGGTCACTTTCCTGGAGTGATAAGTAGTGGCCTGTAAAATTTATTAATCCATGTGTCCATCCTTCGAGACATCCTTCCACCAACTCATGCACCCATCTACTAACCTACCTCCTCACCCACCCATCCATCTATGCCACCACCAATCCATCTGCCCACTCGTCCACCTACTATCTATCTGCCCAGCTAGACATTCATAAAAGATTTATCATAATCAAGAATGATTAATATTCATAGCCCTTATTTAGTAGTGCTCACTTTGTACCAAGCATTGAGCTTGGTACACATTCTGAAGAGAGGATTCAAACCCACGCCCACCTACGGTCTTCTCATGTGGGCAGTCCTAGCTGGGTCAGGGACACACAGATGAGCTCCAAACCCTGTGCTCTAAAGGGCCACGGTTAGGTGATCAAAGCAGCTTGTCACCGTGGCATGGAAGCATGACCTGAAACCCTTTCCTCTCCCCACTCAGGAGCAACCTGTGTCCTGGCCCCCAAGTTCTCCGCTTCCCACTTCTGGGATGACTGTCGGCAGCATGGTGTGACTGTGATCCTGTATGTGGGTGAGGTCCTGCGGTACCTGTGTAATACTCCACAGGTGAGGGGCTGAGATTAGGGCTCCGTGGTGAACACCTCAGATATGACCCTAGATGTCATCTCAGGTAAAGGTTTCAGAGAGATCCAGGTACAGGACTCAAGCAAGGTCCCTTAGGTAAAACACCCCAGGCAATAGCCACAGTTAGCGCAGCCCACACAAGGTTTCCAGTCACGGCCCCTATGATGATCAGCGGTGCTACCTTGGGCAGGTGACTTCATCTCTCTCAGCCTCAGTGTCCTCATTTGGAAAATGAGGGTCTGTTATCCTCACAGGGGCTATTTGTGAGAATAAAAGATATATAAAGTGCCTAGAACAAAGGGTGATTCGGGGTAAGCTCACTAGATGTGAACTTATCAGCATTGAGGTATGGATCACAGGTAAAATGCTTCAGGTAACTACCTCCAGGTGAGGCCCCCAGGTGTCTCCCCAAGGTGAAACTTCAAGTCACTCCCCAGTTTACCTCCAGTTAAAGGCCCCTAAGTAACCCCTCCAGGTAACCTCCCCCCAGGTAAAAGTTCCAGGTACTACCCTACATAAGATCCCAGATATTTCCTCTAGGTAAGCCCTGGATAAGGCCTCCA